GGGCGAATTATAAGAATTACCGCCATCGCGAAGCGATTCGATTATCAAATATACCACTCAAGCACTTGCTCGATGCTCAGACTTCACTTGACTCTAGGATACAGTTCGCGAGTTATCCTGTCTAGATGCTCGAGGGAGGGGGGAAGGAGGTTGGGAGGGGGGGCAAGGGAAGAAGGATTTGACCGATCGCGGGCTCCCCCCCCCGTCCTGCTAGTGCACTGCTTGTCCTTGTTGCGCCAAATTGTGCTGATGCTGCGCACTGGCCGGCGGGCGTGGTTGCTGGGCGCAAGAAATCATGGGGTGCTTCCTGTCGCTGCTCTGAATGTCGTCCTTCTTCTTGCGCTCGCCCTGCGTGGGAAGTGGAGCTCAGCGGTTGGCGATGCGGCGGATTCCAGCAGGGTGCGTGTCGCGTTGTGCGGTTAGGAGGGATTGTGATGGCTATGCCTGCGTTGGTGCTGTCTCTTGGTTGAAAGATGTACGTGTCCTCATGCTGGACATAAATGCTGTCGTCGCTGTGGGGCCTTCCCAGCACCAGGTCGGAGGTCGCGGCACGTGATGGATTTTGATGGGCATCAGCATTACGTTAGGGCCGCTAGCGCCTTCCCCGACCATCAATAAAACCACACAGTCCTTCTGCACAACCCTGCATCCCACCTTATCCACCTACGCCTTCTGCTGCTATTATATCCCCTTTGCGGGGACTTGAACAGAGTTTACATCATTCGCTCAGCCCTGCAAGGGGTTCTACCCACGAGGGCCCGTCCTTGCACCCAACTGCGAATTTGAGCCGACTCTGCTTTTCCCCTGCCCCTCCCCCTCCCACCCACCGCATCAACTTAACAACCCTACTGCGCTTGCCCATTGTCCAATGTCTCTTCCTCGTCATCCTCCTGTACTCATCATCTCTATCATGCTCCTATTCCTGCTACTCCTGCCTTTCCTGTTCCAGGTCATCTTCATACTGCTTCTCCTGACACTTCTGCTTGCCATCCCGCTGCCACTCCTGCTCCTGATCCTCCTCGTCAGCGTCCGCCGCGTCATCGTCCTACCGACCTTGCTCGTCGTCGTCCTCCGCCTTTTCCTCCTGCGCCCCAGTCGTCCCTCTGGCCATCCCAAAGTGGCCCAACTGGAGTTAATGATGGCGCCCCGTACAGATTATAACCCAAGCCCAGCAAATGCAACTTAGCAGCAGACTCCGTCTCTTGTTCGTCTTCGTATTTATCATCGTCCTCTTTCTTATCATTGACCTCACTCCCCCTCTTCCTCCTTCCTTTTATTGTTGATCGGCGCCCTCTCCGTTTGCTCCTTCTGCTCCTCCTCATCCTACCTTTTCCCTCTTGCCCGCTCCCTGCTGACTCCGTCCTCCCTCATCCCTTCTCATCCAGATTTCCACATCGCATGTCGAACTCTTCTCTCTCGTCCCCGTCATCATCGCCACCCTTCTCATTATACAATCGCGCTCTCTGTTACAGCAGAAGCGCTACTTGGGAGAACTGTCGGGTCGAGGCTCGACTCAACTCGGGGCTCGACAGGATTGAAACTTGACGGATCAACAGAGCATGCTCCGCATGATGGCGGCGCTTTGCGAAAATACTGGGAATATCGACTGGTAATGACGACGGGGGCGAGCATGACAAGGGTGACGAGCACGACGACGCCGAGGATGACAAGCATGTGGACGAGGTGGACGCTGAATGATGGCATACGTTGACGTTGAATGGGAAACGGGAGGAAGGATGAACTGATGAATGAGGAAGATGAGAAGGAACGGAACCACGATCAACGAGAAGACGAGGCGGACCGAGGCTACAGAACCGTGTCCCAGGCCGCATGGTGCGTGCCCCGCCTCGGGCCGGCAGGCCAAGGGCAAATTGACGGGAGGACGGCAGGGCAGGCGCACGGCCCCGGCCTTCCACACCGAGCCGCACGCAGGCTGCGCACGCTGCGCGCGCCTCATGCCCGCAGCGCTCTGCGCGGCGGCGCCCGAGCGGCGCCAGGAGCGCGCCGACGCGCATGTCGATAGGGGGCCGCAAGCGAACCCTACCCCTACCCCCCACGATTTCTGAGGGGGAGGGTGGGGTTCACTTCGTTCGGGAGCTCCCGAGCGAAGGGAACCCCACCCTCCCCCTCAAAAATCGTGGGGGGTAGGGGTAGGGTTCGCATGCGGCCCCCGAGTCGAGCCCAGCGTCGCTGACACCGCAGGCTTGGCCAGCAGCACCACGTCGCGTGCACTGGCCACCCGTGCCCGCGGGGGCGACGGCCCCGCGGCTGGCCGACCAGCATCCTCAGCCCACGCCTCCACCATCGCGGGGGGCACCGTTCGAACTCCGGCTGGGCCAGGTCGGGCTCGGGTGCAGTCGGCTCGGCCTGGCTGCTCAGGGCTTTCGCCAAAGCGCGTACATCGTCCAGACTGCCTGATGTCAAGTCCTTTCCTGCCGCAAACTAATGTTCGGCGACGGTGCCGCCGAAAAATGCCCTGCATGTGAAATACTGAAATCGGTGAACCCCTAAGTGCCCTCGATGTGATACGGAGATGTGGCAGGGGGCTGGCATCACTACCGCTTGTGAGCGAAAGCCCGCTTTTCGTATGTTTCGATTTCAGTCGCCCCACATAATAAACAAAGAGGTGTGTATAAGAAGGTATGAGTCTTCAGCTCTCCCACCTTCGTCATCGCTCATGCCCCCCGGCCCCTTCCTCGATTCACCTCTGTTCCACAGGGACTCGCCGATCGATGAGGCAGCCAACGACCGCCGGCTCATCCCATGCTCCTTCAACTCTCCCACCTTGCTCACCAGCTCGCCCGCCAGCACCTCACCCCCACCCGTACTCACGATGGAACCCGGCTGCGCCATGCCCTTCACCACACCGAGGACCTTGCACGGCACCACGCGCACAGGGGGGTGGCACTGGCAGAGGCCGCAAGCGCACTGGACCGCCGCCAGGCCCCCCCCCAGACATCGGGACCGGTGCTTCGCCCAGCGTCGTTGTTGTTTGACGGCCCTGGAGCCCCGCGAGGGCACCTATAGAGCCTAGAGGCCATGAGCGAAGAAAAACCCTCGCCCAGATTTGGCCCACGACGCGAGCACGTCTGGGCTCCGGGCGTGGGAGCGCCCCCGAGCTCGACTGCCCCCTCCGCGGCCGCCCCCTCGCCTCCGCCCTTCCCCCTGTCTGGAGGTAGGAAAGGGGCGTGGCATACCCATAGCCAGTCCTTCTCCCGCCGCCCTCCCTGTGGGTATGGGTGTGTGCGTTGTGCGTTTTGGGCGCCCGAATTAGAGTAACTCGGGTCCGGGGTAACTCGGGTTTGGATTCCCTGAAGAGGAACCCGAGTTAGCCCTGACCCGAGCTACCCCTGCTGATGTGGGGCTCTGGACGCCCGAGTCATCCGGGGTAACTCGGGCCCGGGGTAACTCGGGCTTCCCGAAACACGAACCCGAGTTCACCCTGACCCGAGTTACCCCTGATGATTCGGGGCTCTGATCGTTCGTCCATAGTAGCACGGCACACCGCGCCACCACACCGGAAGAAACTCACCACGCCCTCCTCCCGTAAAACAGGGCTAGGATCGGGATAAATCGCTCCAGAGCGTTCCGGAGCGCTCTCAGAGCGTTCCGGAACGCTCTGGAGCGGCCGCGGCGCCCAATACATCCTCCAAACCCGTCGATTCTCAGAGATTTCGAGTTATCCCGATCCGATTTTGTCCCGATCTTCGCGTCGTTTTATCCCGGGCCCCGGGCGCGGGCGGGGCGGGCAGCAACCCCTCCGGGGCGAGGGGGGGCGCCGCAGGGCCACCCACGGGCTCGCGGCAGAACCGTCCGGCCACGCGGCCGCGCCCGCCGGCCTCGGCGTCGGCCCCGCGGGGCCGACCTCCCGGCAGCCTCCCTGCAGTGGAAGCCCGCCCGGCGCCGCCGAGGGGCCCCAGCAATGGCAGGGGGCCGAGGCGGAGGAGGGGGGGAGGAGGCGAGGGGGGGCGAGGACTTGGGAGAGGGGAGGCTGGAGGAGGAGGGGGAGGGTGTCGAGGAGGGCGAGGGAGAGGGACGGACAGGCAGAGGACGAGGACCGGGGCGGTAGAAAGGGAATGGGAAGGAAGAGGAGGGAGGAAGCGGAGGAGAGGGAAGACCATGGAAACAAAAGAGGAAGGCGAAGAGCAAGAGGAGGAGGAGGAGGAGGAAGAAGAAGAAGAAGAAGTGAACCATCATGCGAAGTGGTCAGAGGACGAGGAGGACGGGGAGGCATGGGATGAAGGACCCTTCGGTCGTCCCCCTCCCAACCGTCACTCCATCTCTACCTGACTCCCTCGTTCCCCCGATGTGTGCAATGCCGCCAGCCTGCTCTATGGTGTATGCCTACATGACTGCTTCGGTTGGGCTCTACGTCTCCATCTGGAAGCATACCCAGCGCGCAGCGCGCACTGGCGGCGCCGCGGCCAGCCGAGTGCGGATGAGACATCTGGCGGACGCACGATTCGACCAGATTGGCTAGACTACCCGAGGCACACGCCCCACACAGCCGGAGGCGGCTGTGCGGTCTGAAGTGGCTCGACCCCGAGAAAATCGGTCAAGAGGGGGGAAATGAAGGCAAATCCGCTCAAAGCCCGTCCCCGGCCACTCCCATGCAGTGTCCCTGAACCTTTGATGCGTTTTGCGCGGCCCCGGGTCCGAAGACGGCCCCCGGAGGCCGAAACAGGGAACACGCCTCCCCGAACTCCGAACCTCGAGCCTGCCCGCCCATTCTGCTGGCCAGAGCCATGGCTGGGCCACCTCGGACCCCCAGCCGGCTCCAACCCCACAGAACAGCTCTAGAGGCCTCTGGGGTCCGAATAGATGGGGTCAAAGGATCGCGCCGCATCGCCGATGCATCGCACATGTATCGGCGATGCATCGGCGATGTATTGGCGACGTCGGCGAGCCGCATCGGCGATGCATCGGCGATGCGGCGCTACCCTCCGACATCATCTACTGCGACCCCATGCAGGAGGCCTAGAAACTCCCGCTCGAGAGAG